ATATATATATATATATATATATAATAGTACTTTTACTTACATTCCGTGTAGATAGGACTGTATGGTGCAATTATAGCACCGAGATAAATACTCGCGTAAACTGGTATTAACCAATTCAATCGATTTTCAGTTGCGATGCCAATTCTGTCCCCGATTTCTATCCCAAACTTTTGTAAAAACTTTGCTAATTTCACGCTTTTCTGGAGTAGTTCTCTATATGTCATCCGATTTCCGGTTAGTCCATCTATCTACAAGAAAACAATATCTCTTTACAATCATATAAAGTCAATATAATTATGAGATATTCTACAGTAAAAATAAATTCCTTTAGCTTTACATGCTACATGATGATTACTTGATTGCAATGTGTTTAATAATATAACTACAAAAACTGTATTTTTTTATGACTGTTAAAATATATAAAATTGATTAAATACGAGTATCGCCCTTCTTAATCGCTTTCTTAGCTTTCTCGCTGTCTTATCTTATTAGAAAATATTTTTTAAATTTCTAGTATTTGAAATACAAAAGGAAATCAACATAAAAATGTGACAGGAAAAATTTAAAGAGGAAACTCGCGAATTTCACTTCCGGCAATTATAGTGCCGATAAATTTCCAAAGAAAATTTTGTTGTTTTAGCGTGCTCCATTATCTCGCGCAGATCTATAATTCGTAATCGCTACCGTGAGTTTCGTAATTATGACACATACTGCATAAACACGATTGCCGTTCTCGCGCAATTTGTTCAGTATAATTTCTCCCATAGATGCATTTGGCGTTGGCTGTTCGAGACGACGCTCATATATCTTTCCCATCTTTGCAACAATGGAGTAGAGTTTGTTTGACAAGTAGCAGTGTGTTTCTACAAAAAAAATAATTTAATTGTTAAATTAAATTGTTTAGTGCGAGACAATGTTTATATAAAATTTCTCTAGTTTTTAAATTATGAAATAAGGACACTATAACTATAAATTAATATATAATTTAATATTAAAAACGTAATAAAAAATTAAATAGACTGTGTGTACTAGCTCAATAGAAATTTAAATGAATAACCCATTAGATCTTTTAACATTTAACTTTTTTATTATTATATGTTTTTAATATTAAATTATAAACTAACTTATAATTATAGTGTCCTTGTTTTCTTATTTAAAAACTAAAGGAATTTTATATAAACATTGTTTCGCGCGAGAGACTCAGGATCGGGAACCGCAGAAGCCCCAACGCTTCGTTCGCCGTTTTTGTTTTTTTGTCGCCATGTTGTCGGCTTTTCTAATTCATCTAACCTGCAGATTACAAAGTACGGATATTTCAATCAATGAATTAGTACATCACACATTTTATGAAAGTGAACAGAAATTATATATCGCACACTTGAAAGTAATCATAAACAATGTCAAATATAATAATAATAATAATCGTATATTTATACGCA